GAGACCTTGGAGTGTCCTGGGTACCAGAGTAAGGCGTGTGAACTTTATCCTGTAGACCAAGCGCCACCAGTGAAGGGTCTCAAATAAATGAGTAAAGTCATCGGATCTGAAACCTTCTGTCTGCTGTCAGCCCACATGCTAGCACGGTGGCATATCTACGTGCTAGCTTGGCACACACTTACGGGGACTCTGTTTTCAGTCCAATGAAAACACAGGCTGTGGGACGAGAGCATTGCTAAAATCATTTGCCAGTCAAATGAACTGCTTCCAACCTCTGGATAGAAGCCACCTCAGCTCTGCAGTGTACTGCGTGGCCACTGACCTGCCGCAGGGCTCTGCTGGGCTCCTGGACGCCCTGGCCCACTTCCTGCCAGATGGCCCAAGTCCCGGCAACTTCCCAGGGAGCCGCACCAGGGCGGGGGCAAGGTGGGGCCGTGACGCAAAAACACTTTATAAAACAAACATCCTGGGACTTCCACTTACACCTGGGTGTCTGGCTTCCAGCACATATTTTTGGAAGCGCTCCACTTCTCCGATGACACCTGTGTTGCTCAGAGCGAGGAGGGCCTCCAGGAAGCTCTCTCTGCCTGGGGACTATCATTTGGATATTGGCAAGGATGGCACACATCCTACCTTGGCGGGTGGATCGGATTGTAGGAAACACCTAAAACAATTCAAGGGCAAGCCTGGAGTTGAGTGATTGAGCTGGTAAATGATTGAGCTTCAGAACACTATTTTTGGTCAAACATCCACATGTGACTAGAATGTCTCATTTGACTGTTGCCCTTACCCAGGAGTCTTGACTTCTGGCACCCTTACAGGACAGGTCCCAACCAGCCAAAGTCCCCATGTGGCTGGATGTCAAGAGCCTCACTCCATAGCCAACTCTTACTAAGCTTCTGGGGAGAAATTGGGTGCAGAATATGACCATAGAGAGCATACGAACTCATTCTAGAAAGTTCTCAGTATCGAATAGCCCCATATTGAGTACCAGCATACTTAAATGCTCCCTACCATCTTTTATGTTAATTCTTTCTAGTAAAGATGGCTCCTTAAATTTGCAATCACCATACACCTTTATAAGCCCTTTCATGTAAATACGTTAAGAAAAAAACACCTCCGTCAGACATGTTCTCATTTTTAGTTCAGAAAATGTGGTCAGCGAATTTATACAGAGCTCTCTATGTAAAAGAAGTCAGAGATTCACAGAAGATCGGAGTGCAAGGTCTTGGGTTTCCAATCCAGTCCAATCCAGCCAGGAAGCATCTTACAGAAAGAGCCCGAGACCCACAGAGGGGAAGCAATGCCCAAGGCTTCACAATGAGCTGAGAGGTCCCAGAGCTTAGGTGGGAGACTAAGAACGCAGATCTTGGCAATGTCTGATGTGCTTCTTGCTGTTTTTGTTCACTTCCTTGACTGCTTCTGTACCAAATATGAAAACCTCACCTCCACTTAAGAGTAACTTCTAGGTCCTAGGTATCACATAGTTTACAAGAATTGGTTGCTTTTCTTTAAAGGAAAAAAACAGTAAGGGAGAGGATGCAGTGTACTGAAAATACGTAGAAAGATATCAATGCCATGCCTTTGAACAAGCCCAGTGTAGACCCCATGGGATTATATTCTCAAATCCAGGTTAGTGATGGAGTTTAAGGACTCAGGCCCTGCTGAGGGCCAGCGCTTGAGAAAGCAGCACCGCCCCCTTCCCCTGATTTTGTTTCCCCATCTGGGTCAGATGGGTCATCTGGACAAGGCCTGGCTGCCTCGGAGGACAGTGCAGCGTGTGCGCAAGACCGCATGTTCGGGGTGGGTTAGGAGAGGCTGTATGTGTGGGTGACTGGAGCGTCAGTGGCACACGTGTACGGCAGTGGGAGAGACCGTCTTGTTCCTGAATTGAGAACATGAGACTCCATTCCAGCTAATATTTCTCAATCTGAAAAAGAATCACAGACTAAACCGAAAGGACCCTAGATCCGGCCCCAACTCCTTCCCTGATGGCTGGAGAAACAGGCTCACAGAGGGTCAGGGAGGTGGTCAAGGTCACACAGCTGCGAGCTGCTGGCAGGACAGAGGCTGGCTGTCCCTCCCTCCACACCAGGCTGCTACCAGGATCCCACATACTGAGACATCCGGTCCCCTGTGCTGGGAGGATGCCACATAGCGGGACAGTGTTCCCCTTGCAATGACTGGTTGATTGCTGTGCCATGGACAGCTGGGCAGGGCAGAGAGTGTGCTCCTCTTTGCCTTGGCACTGGACACGAAGACTTCTGGAGTGTGAGGAAAACTCTGTGTGTCACTGGAACAAAACATTTCCTCAAAGAAGGCAAACAAATACCAGGGGCGAATCCCCATGTGTTCGCATGGACTCGAAACTGCCCCATTTAGCACCCGAGGCTGTAATGCTCTCTAATGGGCTTGTTAATCTCATCCCTCCTTAGGAATTAAGTTTATTAGGGCGGAGATAACTCCCCTGTCCCTCGCCCTAATCCCTGGTTGACACCCCGTGGTTTTTCCAGGACTGCGTAAAAATAAAGTTGATCCGGTTGCACAAGACAAAAGGGAACTCTGCCCGTCATGGCCCTTTACATATGAAGACTCGCTTCTGTTTACCGCTGGCTTCCCCAACCTGCAGTCTATGGAGGCCAGGCCCGCTCCGGACAGTGAGATCACTCGCGCGGGCGTGCCTTCCTTGAACAAGTCACCCACTATCTCCGGGTTCTAGGGCCTGAGGGGCTAGGCTCAGGGGCCAGTCCGGAGGTTTTTCAAAATCTCCCAGGGTTCTGTAGCTGTAAAGACCCTTGGGTTATCTACTCCAGGCTGCTCTGAGGCCCACAGAAGGACTTAACCCAAGATCACGCAGCCAGCGGGGGCCAGGCCTGGGCTTCAGCCCTGAGCTCCAGGGTCTCCCTGCACACACACCCTGACCTGGGCTAGTTTTATATGTTCTTTAACTCTTTCTGGAAGCCCTCGGGTTGGTCACGACCCACACCCTAGGGTGGAACGTAAACGTCTGTTGGATTTTGTCTTCAAGGGAAGGAATGCTAAAATGGAAAAATCCCAAATTCCTTCAGTCTCTCCCTGGGGCCGGCAGTTGGGGATGGTGGTTCACACCCCAGAAAGGCGCAGTCCTCCACCCAAGGCACTGGCCACACTCTTAGGCATCCGTCCCCAACTACTTTGGCACAGGGGACCGCGCTTCTATGAGGATCTAAAGCCTGACATCTGAGGTGGAGCTGAGGCCATGATGCCGGTGCTGGGGAGCGGCTGCCAACACAGATTAAGCTCTGCTCACTCGCCCACCGCTCACCTCCTGCCCTGCAGCCCGGTTCCTAACAGACCATGGATGGTACCCATCGCGGCACCGGGGACCCCTGCACTTAGGGACGACCAATTTCCTACGCAGCTTTAGCCATATGTATTCACCGCGCAGACGTCGGTGCGCTGGGACTTCCAGACGCCAGTGGCAGTCGCAGCTGCCCTTAAAGATGTCCAGTGGTGGACGAGCGCCATCCGCACGGCAAAGGGCGGCGAGCTGCTTGGTGGCTTGAGGCCCCGTTACCTCCTACCTCTCCCCCTAATGCGCTTAGACGAGTGTCTGGCTTAATCGGGTGGACCGCGTCCACCGCTGTCCGCCAGCCAGGTGGAAAACACCTGGATGTGCACCTGGATGCGTCGGATACAGTTTACTGGCACAGTGACTCGCCAGGTGCCGCTCAGCACGCCCCTTCCCCGTCGGCGTCCCTGTCCCGCTCCTGGGGGAGCAGCCCCAGAATCGCTTCCAGGCCCTTCCTCGGAAAGGAGGCGCGGGGCGGGAGAGGCCGGAGTCCGCCCGGTAGGGTCCACGTGGCGCGCTCGCGCCCACGATGTCCTTTCTGTGTCCCCGGGCACGAGGCATTCGATGCCAAGTGGAGGGACAGCTGTGCGCAGCGGGCAGCGGGCGGCGGGAGCGGCAGGC